CGCGGGTCCACCGCGGTGGCCTGGTGGGGTCGGGCCCGGGCGGAGGTCGGTGGCGCACCTTTCCAGGGCCGGATCCCTCCGGATCCCTCCGGTGGGCCTCTGGCGAGGCGGGGTCTAGCCTGAGAGCCGGAGCCTTGGCCTCCAGCGGGGGTCCTGCGCTTGCCGCCACCGTCGGACGGCAGGGCGGAATCCCGCAGAAAGCCTGGCGTGGGTTTGGAAACCGGTGGACGGGGACACGGGGCGAGATCCAGACCGGGAAGTGGGCGGGTGGGGGACATTGGGAAAGGAAGATCTCTTTCGTGCTTGGAGAGGAAGTCGCGGCCACACTTTACGTTCCCGACGCCAGACTTTACTCAGCATCCCGCCATGGCAGTCACCTCCGAAGCCGCGCGCGGGGACAAGTAACAACTTTACATTTGCCGCCCGCCGCTCCGTATTCTTTGCCAGGGCTGGGCTCTGGACCTTGTTAAAGGGACACTGGTGGTGTCACCCCAGGGTGGTTGGCCGGGGCCACGGAGTTTATATTTATGGTAATTGTCTAATGAAAGAACATCTATTCGAATTGGATTTGCTCCTCTGTGCCTTTATTTTGGGAAACCTTGCCTGGTCCCTATGGAGATGGGGAAAGGGATGTGAGAAGCTGAAATTGACCCAGAAAAAGGATGATTGAAGATAGGTGTGTTAAGTGCTGTCTCAGAAACGATCCCACCATGAATGCTAGAGATGAGCAGCTGAGGTTTGTTTTAACTCTAGGGTAGAATTTGTGTCTTGTCACAGGAGGCGGGAAACTTGCTGGGAGTACAGTGCGAGGGGGGGGGGAGGGTGATTGCGCTTTTAAAGCCAAAATAAATAAAATACCTGAAGGGTTTCCATTAAATACCTAAAGGGCTAGTACCTAAAGTTTCTCTTCTTTCTTTGTCTTTTATCTTTCACTCTCTTTCCCTGCACTAGATCACATACATGAGGTGTCCACTTAAAATGAGGCCAACTCGGCCTCATCAGCCCTCCAAAGGCTCATCATGAAGCGATTGATATTGGTCCCCCGTACTGCCCCCCCCCACAAATAGAGGAAAAAAGAAGGTTGGGATTAATGTTAGGACAGGGTAAAGTTCTCCCACTGGGACTCACAGAAACTTCCTCAGGAAGTGACAAATGAAAAGGAAGGTAGTCTGTATAGATTGCTTCTGCCACAATGAAAACTCAGATGAGAATGAATTTTCAAAATGAAGTCCAGGCCCCATTCAAAAATCATAAAGAAGCAAACAACCGCCCCCCCCCCCAAAAAACCCCACAACCGACAAAAGAAGTTACATTGTAATTTATTAAAATGGAAAACAAACTTTCCTTTTTATAAGACACTCGGTGAGATTTGTAGTAAAAAGAAACAACATTAATTTTTAAATATAGAACAGCTTGAATAATAACTCATGGGTTTTGAAATAGGTCATCTTTTAAAATAGGTCACTTTAGCTAGAATCTGCACTTGGTGACCTTCAAACTCTGAAGGCTTGAGTTCTTTCTGAGGCCCAATTGCATTAGAATATGCATTTCAGAACATAATTACTAGGGAAGGAAAAACTAGGAGAAAGTCAGAAGGAAGTGGTTGCTTAAAGTAACAAACAACGAATGTATCTTAAACTGGAGGAATTTTCTCTGTGATCAGTTGAACAGATCTAAGCAGATTGGTAAAAGACCTCTATTGATATGCACCAGTGGTTCATGTCTGTAATCCTAGCTACTCAGTAAACTGAGATCTGAGGATCCCAGTCCAAAGGCAGCTGAGCAAAAAGTCCTTGAGACTCTTATCTCTACTAAACCACCAAAAAGCCATTAGTGGAGCTATGGCTCAAGTGGTAGAGCACTGGTATTAAGTGAAAAAACTTACAGTCAGTGCCCAGACCCTGAGTTCAATTCCCAGTACTGGCACAAAAACTAAAAGCTCTGCCATTTGACATCAAATATGGCAGAAACGATGTGTAAATCTAGAATTGCATACTTCCCTTACAATGTACAGTACCTCTTATGCATTAATTTTTATATGTGGGATATAAGGATTTAAACATTTATAGATAAAAATCTTATCAAGAAAGATATGAATTAAATAAATAAAACAGTTACTACATTTTGATGCTACAAATGTTGAAGATTTATCTTCTATAGTGAAGTCTGTTATACCTCAAAGCCAGTTCATGATAGAAGAGAATGTTCTAAGTCTGCAGGCAACGAACTTCGAAAGGTCAAATTTAAAAGTTTGTAATGTAGCCTAAGGTCCATGTAAGCTTTCATATTTTATCTTTCCGACAGCTCTTTCTAGAGTCTTTCAACTCAGATAGGGCCATAAGCAAAATAAGCTTAAAAAGTTGAGTCCACCTGGGCTTTGTTCTTTAAAGTTGACAGGACTGTAACTCGGGTTTCATTCTTCATAACTGACAAGGCCTTAGTTTTATGTCTGTGTCATCTTCATTAAAAGGTGTTTTAAGTGCTTGTGAGAACCATAGTATTTTTTCCCTGTCAAGACTAATAGAAGATGATACTCATTTAGGAATGATACTTTTGTATTAAGTAGCAGTTAGCAATCAAATCAGCATTTAAAAAACTCATATAATTAATTTTTTGAGAAGAATATTAGGAGTATAGCTCAGCTTTTCCCCCCTGGTACTGGGCTTAAACTCAGGTTTCTGAGCTTTCCTTTTTCCACTCAACGCTAGTGCTCTACCACTTCAGCCACACACTTTCACTTCCTGCTTTTTTGCTCATTAATTAGAAAATAAGAGTCCCACAGACTTTTCTGTGAAACCCTGGCTTCAGATCTCAGCATCCTCAGTAGCTAGGATTACAGGTGGTGCTAGTCACCAGCACCCAATTCTAGGTAAGCTTCTTGAAGAATAATAACCTTTAAAACCTCATGTATTAACTCACCTATTATGGTAAAGATGTATGAATGGTTTCTAGAGAAAGGAAATTGGCACGTAGTCAATATCTGCTGTGGACCATTCTTTGTCTCTAAGTGATTTCAAATGATCCTCAGAAAACATGTGCATGTAGCTCAGAAATAAGTCCAAGAGCACAAGACCATAAAATGGGAATATAATAAATATACATTTTTCTCAAAATGTAAACTCTCATCTTTCCTACTCTCTCTTGCCTCCCTCAGGTACGAGTTCCAGGTTGCAGCCAACCATTGTTGATGCTTTGGTAAAGGATCTACTTGAAGCAGCTCTTAAGTCATCCTAGCACCCTGCCTGTGGCAGTATGTGACAAGTTAGTATTTACTGAACTTATAAAATCTAGGCTTTACTCATTCTCAGAGTTGCCCAATATAATGCCCTGAACAAGACAGGTACTTCATAAATGATAGTTAACATACTATAATACATGTTGCTTACTGAGCTACACTATATATGTGTGTGTGTATAATACTTTTTATATATTATACTTTTTTTCCTTTGGTGATTGAACCCAGTGCCTCATGCATACTAGGTAAGAGATCTACCATTTGAGCCCTACTCCTGGCCATTATACTCTTAGGTTTATGCTATCCTTTGCTTTTTGTCTTCTGTGGCAACCCCTCAATCAAATGTTTCTAGGTGCAATATGCATAATGAGACATATGGATTACCATCGAGCCACAAGCAAAGAGCACATTAACATTATGGTATTTGTGAATCCCCACTTTTCTTACCATGATAGGAACTAGCCTCTCTAATTACCTTTTGGGGGGCTGGTACTGCACTTGATTGATTTCAGAGCCTTTTGCTCCTTTGGCTTTTTTCACTCAAAGCTGGTACTCTATCACTTGAGCCACATTTCTACTTCCAGCTTTTTACTGATTAAGTGGAGGTAAGTCTCACAGATTTATTTGCCCAGACTAGCTTAGAGCTGTGATCCTCAGATCTCAGGCCTCTGAATTGTTAAGATTACAGGCAGGTGTGAGCCATCAGCTCCCAGCTCTAATGGCTCTAAATGCTTTTCACCATCTCCTCCTAGCCACAGCTCTTTCCTCTTCTGTGCTTTCAAAAATTCCTATACTGATCTCTCTGGGAACATCTTTCTGCTTGATCTCTCCACTTTACCCTTATCAACTAGCTTAATGCTCCCTGTTACTTACTGTCTTTCTTTCTGAACTGTCTCTTTTTCTTTCCTCCTCAAACCACATTTGAATTCCAGACACGACTGGGCCCTGCTTTTTTGTCAAATCTCCCACAAAGCCATCCCCCTCTGACAATCCCCCATAGTGCTCATGGTTTAACAATTGGGATTCAGATGTCAGATTCTGGATGAATTTTCCACAGCCTCCCCTTCCCCCAACTGGAATGCAACATCTAGTCTGCATATGTGGAGATAATTGATTTCAAATGTACCTTGGTCAGTTTGTCTGAATCCTAAGAGATCTCAAGAATGTTTGAAACATCCTATTCTGAATGAATGTTGATCTAGTATCCCAGATAAAGCAGTCATGATGTGTGTAGAGTCCTAGAGAGTTGCAGGGGTGGGGCCAGGAGTGTGGCATTTTTTAGCATGTTTTATATTCTATTAAATGGATAGCACTGGCTGTTAGGTAACTGATTTGCATTGGCGAATCCTATTCACTTTTTTGCCTGTCATTTTATAAGCCAGTTTTGAATATATTTTTGAAGTTTTTCATGATATTACTGAGGAAAAATTTAGATACTTCTGGGTTTGGGAGGGGGTTCTTTGGTGCTGGTACTGGGGCTTGAACTCAGGGCCTCTTGCTTGTGCTTGTTTTTTTTTTTTTCTCAAGGCTGGAGTTCTAACACATGAACCACAGCTCCACATCTGGCTTTTTGCCGGTTAATTGATAAGAGTCTCTTAGAGTTGTCTGCCTAGTCTGGCTTTGATTCTTGATCCTCAGATCTCAACCTCCTTAGGAGCTAGGATTATAGGCATGAGCCACTAGCTCCCAGACATACTGCTTTTTCATAAAAGAATGTTAGTTTCTCCAGGGCTAAGGCATGATTCCTATGTGTGTGACTCCTCAGCTTTTAATTTACCCAATAATTGAGTGATTGTCATCAAAATTCACTTTGAATTTCTCTTTCCTTCACTGCCTTCTCCCTTCTTTTCTCTTCCCTATCCCTCTACTCTGTCACTTTGGATCACTGTCCATAGATTCTTTCAACTTCTTTGGGCACAAAGGACATAGACTCACAAGGCCATTCATTTTTGCCCGCTGTCTAGTGCTATTAGGACAAAGAAGGGAAAAAAAAAGGAGGGTGGGAAAATTGAGTCCATGAGGGCTAGGAAAAAAGTTTACGTTAGTAAAGCAAATGTGAAAAAGCACTAAGAAAATGCAGGAGGTGACAAATCCTAAATGACTCCAAACATCAGATATAAAGCAAATTCCTGGTTGTTGCTCTTTCCTTGCTCTACCTACTTCCCTCCTCTCTCCTTCTGGGAAGATCTCTGGTAGAGTGGAAGGGCAGTGAACAGCTGGAGACTGGCTGGAACTGGTCAGCTGCTGTGAACTGCCTGGGGGCCTGGAATTTATGAAGGTTAAATTGTTAACCTGGTATCTCCATGCCTCAGTGTCTTATGCAAAATGGGGAGCTCATTTCTCACTGATAGGTTGTTGCCAGGCTTAGAGTTACTGGGTATGTACAATACCTGAAGTGTAGAAAACATGCTCTTGTTAGTAACTATTGCTAGCATGGATAAAGAAGTTTGTGTCTTCAGTAGACCAGGAAAAACTGACAAGAACATTTAAAGAGCGAGCAGCCTAGTCAACCCAAACAACTGTGTGGTAACCACAAGTTCCAAAGGCCAGCTTTCAGAAAGCAAATGTTTGACTGCTTAATATTTTCATCTTTTCTATGTCAAATTCCCCATAATCACTGAGAAATTTTCGTGACTTACTACAACCAATCTGCAATATAATGCTGCTCTAAGAACTTTCAAGTCAGGCAGGATTTTTCTTCACCTATTTCTTCATTTGCTACTTCTCCCTTTATCTCCTTCATAACTGGTCAATAGAAATCTGCACAGACATTTGCTTTGTAAGGAAACATATAAATTAATTTACATAAATGAGGTTCTTAACTACATGATAGATTTTTTTTTGGTAACATGTCCATAGCCACCATGCTCACTGCACTGGAATTTAGTCTTTGAACTAACACTGAATCGAGAAGTAAATTTATAAATGTATTCTTTGTGGAAAGATAGTAACTACAAACAAAGGGCTTCTACCATTTGGTCATGGCTTCAGCTTAAGTTTTATGGCTAAAGTCACAGCCCACAGAAATACCTGAAGACAGCTGCTGGTAAAATTTTTTCTTTTTTATTCTTTAATTCAAGAATAGTATGAAAGGATATAAAATTTCAGGTTGCTCCCTTCTTTCCTAAGCACATAGAATAGAACAATTAGTACCAACTGGTAATCAGCTGTGCCATTACAGAAAATTTTATCCCTCTTTCTTTTGAGTTATGCCTGAATGACAACTATAAATTATCTCTCACATGGGACTTTGAGTAATCAAAGTTTAAATGCAAATGGCATGATGTATTAAGACCAAGAAAACTCGACTTACTGACTGGAGGAGTGTTATTAGAGTCTAGTCATCTTTTATAAGTATTTTTTTTTCCAGTACTGGAGTTTGAAATCAGACTCTTGCACTTGCTCGGCAGGTACTCTGGAACAACTTGAGTCCCACCTCCATCTCTTTTTTGCTTTGGTTATTTGGGAATGAGAGGGTCTTCTTACTTTGTCCTTGGCCAGATTGGATTGAAATTCTTCCCATTTGTGCTTTCTGCCGTAAGCTGGCATGAAAGTAGGTGACATTTTTGTTGTTGTTGTTGTTTTCTGTTAAGGGAGGGTCTCATGAACTTTTTAGCCCAAGTTGGTCTCAAATCAGTCCTCCTGACTTAGCCTTCCAAGTACCTAGAATTATAGGTTAAGCCACTGCTCCTGGCTGGCATGTCACTTTTTTTTTTTTTCTCCTGGTCGTGGGGCCTGAACTCTGGGCCTGGGCGCTGTCCCTCAGCTCTTCAGCTCAAGGCAAGCACTCTACCACTTGAGCCACAGCACCACTTCTGGCTTTTTCTGCTCATGTGGTGCTTAACAATTGAACCCAGGGCCTCATGAATGCAAGGCAAATACTCTACCACTGAGCCACCTTCCCAGCCCCTGTCTCTGAGCTTTTGTGCTTAAGGCTAGGGCTCTACCACTTGAGCTACAGTTTCACTTCCAGCTCTTTTTGGGTGGTTAATTGGAAATTAAGAGTCTCATGGACTTTCCTGCCTAGGCTGGCTTTGAACCACAATCCATAAATAAGTATCAAGAAGCTTGAAGTGGAGCTCTGGCTTAAGTGGTAGAGCATTAGCCTTGAGTGAAAAAGCTAAGAGACAGCACCAGGCCCCGAGTTCAAGCCCTAATAGTGGCACACACCCTCCTAAAAAAGAAATATAGACAGAAACAGATCTATACAATTTGAAATTATAACCCTCTGGCTTTTTCTATCTGAAATTACTTGGCCTTCACACATGAGTCAGTGGTGTTTCCCCTGGAAGAGTCTTTCCCTAGCCTCAGTCTGACCCCATATAGGGAGTATTCCATCTTCAGCACAACTCAAATTCCATCAGTGTGTGTCTTCTCCACTTTGAGTTCCATGATAATAAGGATTTGCGTATGTTGCTTATCCATTCTACCTGGGTGAACCCCTCCTTAATTTTCTCATCAACTGTCTCTTTAAAATGACTCTTCCCTTTTTTCTCCTTCCCCCCAGTTCATTTTTCTTCCTGATCCTTCTGCTCATCTCCCTCTGGAGAATTTACCCATATTCATGGACTCAGCCATCTTCATGCTTAGAATGCCCACCTGGATCTTCAGTCTCGTCTAGATTTAACCTTAGATTACCTGTTGGATATCTGTACCTTGTTCTTTCTCCAGTAGTTCAAATTCAATCCAAGTCTAAGACCGACTGTAACCTCTCTTATTTCTAACTCAGGAAACCAGTTTTTCTCTGCCAGTAATATGTGCATTGCCTTCCATTTCTCATTTTCCTTTCCTCCCCATTCTAGGTCATTTCATTTTGGTATTTCACTTTGACATCAGAAGATAGATAATACATTTGGCATTTCATTTTGGCATCAGAAGGTAGTTAGTACACATTCCTTCTGTCTGTACTTCCACCACACTGCACTATACCTTCTCCACCATGTCCTGCCTCAGCATACAGTCCTGATAAACTGACATCCTGGAACACTTTGTGTTCCACCCTGAAACCCTACTGCTGGTCTAATCT